AACAAGAGTGACAAACCCCTGGCTAGACTCACTAAAGAAAAAAGAGAAAGGACACATGTAAACAAAATCAGGGACAAAAGAGGAGAAATAACAGATATCACAGAAATACAAAAGATCATACAAGAATACTATGAAAAAGTATATAACACCAAATTTAATAACCTAGAAGGAATGGGCACTTACTTAGAAAGATACAACCTTCCTAGACTGAATCAAGAAGAAGTGGAAAATCTAAATAGACTGATCAGCAGTATGGAAATTGAACCAATTATTAAAAACCTACCAAAAAGTGAAAGTCCAGGACCAGATGGCTTAACCAGTGAATTCCACCAAACATTCAAAGAAGATTTAATACCTATTCTCCTCAAACTCTTCCAAAATATCGAAGAGGAGGCAATACATCCTGATTTTATGACGCCAATCTTATCCTGATACCAAAACCTGGTAAAGATAATACAAAAAAAGAAAACTACAGACCAATATCTCTCATAACACAGATGCAAAAATCCTAAATAAGATACTAGCAAACCGAATATAGCAACATATTAAAAAGATTATACGCCACGATCAAGTGGGCTTCATCCCAGGGGCACAAGGATGGTTCAATATATGCAAATCAATTAAAGTGATATACCACATAAACAAATTAAAAAATAAGATTCATATGATGATATTAATACATGCAGAAAAAGCCTTCAACAAGATACAGCACCCATTTATAATCAAAACACTTAACAAAATCGGTATAGAAGGAAAGTCCCTTAACATAATAAAGGCCAAATATGACAAGTCCTCAGCCAACATTATACTTAATGGTGAAAAACTAAAAACTTTCCCTCTAAGATCAGGAACTAGGTATGGCTATCCACTATCGCCTCTGTTATTCAGTATAACATTGAAGGTCCTAGCAAGTGCAATCAGGCAAGAGAAAAATATAAAAGGCATCCAAATAGGAAATGAAGAAGTCAAACTGTCAATATTTGCGGATGACATGGTTCTCTATATTGAAAACCCTAAAGACTCCTGAGAACACTACTAGAAACAATAAGCAAATCGAGTAAAGTTTCTGGATACAAAATCAGTGTTCAAAAATCCATAGCGTTCCTATACTCTAATAATAAAGTGTCTGAAAAAGAAGTGGAAAAAATAATTCCTTTTGCAATTGCAACAACGATAAAGAATAAAATATCTAGGAATAAATCTAATGAAACATGTGAGGGATCTAGATAATGAAAACTATAAGACCCTATTAAAAGAAATCGAAGAGGATGCAAAGAAACGGAAAGATATTCCATGTTCTGTGATTGGAAGAATAC